AGGGCTTGATGAATTAGAATATTCAGACAATGACAAAGGTAAATCAGCAAGAAAGTATGAATGAACATACAATATCTATGTTCCTAGTCACACGTCCACTGTAACTACTGTACATGTCTCTTGCCTTGCCACATTTTTATACATTTTTCCTTTTTGTCCAAGGCAAAAGGAATACACATGTGTGTGTGTGTGTGTGTGTGTGTCTGTGTGTGTGTGTGTGTGTCTGTGTGTGTGTGTCTATGTGTGTACTCAACTCTAATAGTTACTTCAGGTTTTTCCTTCCATGAATCCATGAAAGCCCACATTATTTCAAACTTAAGTCTGCATGCCTTCCTCTTCCTTCTCTTGTTATCATCAATAACTTTTTCTGTTTCTCTTCCTTCTCTCTACTTTTGCCAAAGACCAACCAAAAATCGAAGGAAGAGGTACAATTTGCCTCCTCTACAAAACAGAAATATGCACATAATCAGGGATTTCACATGAAAAAACACAGCACCACACATGTTATCATTTGTGTGACAGTCAGATTCCTCCCAATTCCTGCCATCCTGCAGGGATGGCCTGGATATGTGCAGGAGCTGAAGATGGGACAGCTCTACATCCATTTGAAGGATTCCTTCCACTCCAAAGGTGGATGTGCTTGGAAATCAGTAGGGAATCTGAAAACACACCAAAGCCTATATCCGCCCCTGGGTTGTGTCCAGGGCACTGAGATTCTTTGACTCCCCACACAATTACAAGCTGCCATGGGGTCTAAGACCCACTGCTTTACCCCAGTGTTTCTCAGATGTGAAGCTCCAAGTTTCTCATTAAAACGTCACTCTCAGAACCCCTTGGAGAACTTGTCAAAATAGACTCCCATGCCTAGGCACCCACAGGTCCCAATTCTTTGGGCCTGAAACAAGGCCCTCGCCTTTCCACTTTTATCAGGTTTCAAGTTTTCACAGCTGACTCTGTGGTTTCTGGCCCACACTTGGTGAGTCATTGCATTAGACAGAGCAGGAAGCACAGGGCTGCCATGTGGACCCACTGAACAGGCAGAGTTCATTAGATCTCACCCTTGTCCTCCTTCAGTAAGGGGAGAAAGTCAAAGCTCTTAGGTAGCTGTCCATTTCAGTCTTTACCCACACTTCAGGAAGTGATTTAGTCAAGCAGCCTCCAAGAGCACCTCTAAAAATAATCCCCTCTTAGTCATTAATCGTCAAAATGCTTACGAAATCTCTATCTGCAGTGCACATAATGTTATTACATTTCAGCAACTAAAATCTAAATGCTCATGTAAATGGGAGCCAATTGGATGTTAATTACATGCACTTAAATTTATATTCTTTCAAAGGCAAATTAAATATATCATTTCATTTTTTTACTAATGCAATTTTTAAAATTCCACATTGAAAGCAGTGAGATTCACCTACAATATGAAACTGCAGGGTAGCAAATTAAAAAAATAACTTACAAATATTAATAAAAACTTGTCTCAAGGACTACAACAATTCTAAAGCAGTGTCACTGTGTCAGACTCAAAGCCACATAATACTGAAGCTGAAATGAAGTGCCCTCCATTCTGAACCACTGTGCTGAAAGCAGAGAAAAGCTGATGCTGCAACCTGGCCATGGCAATAAGGAAACCAAACCTACTACCTGTCAAAGGAGCTAAAGATCTTACTAGGCAGAGGTAAAAAACAAACTTCGTTATACAACCAAAATTCTTGCCCTTTGTGCTCCTGGTGTCTTAAGTAATCAGATGCACAAGGTAAAAACAAATCCTGTTTTAGAGCTGAGTCAAGTGGTGGTGGTGGTAGTGGTGAGTGGGGGAATGACAACTCATCTATCTACAGGTGGCATGCTTCCCAGCTTTAGAAAAATGCTGAAAATCACTAAGAAGTGCCCTCAAAGCTCCAAAAGCACAGGCTTCACGAGCCATTAAATCAGGGGAGCTGGAAAAGGACCTGGGCATTAGGATATTTTTAAGTACCCGTAAGATCCTCTGAGTGAAGTCACCACAGAGCAAGGTAACACAGGAGCAAGCTAGTCCCACTCTTCAGACCATTTTCCAACCCTTTGCAAGCTCCTTTTAGGAAGCAGTGAAACCTCTGAGATTACAATCATGATGAACAACTGAGAGATAACAGGACCACACAGCAGCAGCTGTGTATTTTGATCTTTTATTCTTCAAATAAAATAAACCAAACTGATGAATGATGGCAAATGCATCTGAATCCTTGTGGTTTATCTGGACGCTAGTGGCCTACAGAAGATTAACCTAAAAATCAGTTCAAATTAGCTCTGTGGAGTATGTCTCAACTTGGCTGGCTGCTGCTAACAAAGAAACCTCTCAAGCATTTACAAGAGCTGGACAGAGAGTTAAATAACGGGAGCAGAGGTCATTCTCAAGATTGCTCTTACTTAGTATCTTTAACAATCTTTGGGGGAAGCACTATCAATGTCCATTTCCTGAGACTACCACACCACTGCCATGTCTAGCTGAGGCAGAGGAACACAGGCTACAGATTTGCTTCTAGGCCTCTCCTGGGCCAGGTACCATTGCTTAATCTTTAAGGAACAAAGGAGACCTAATAGTCTCAAGCAAGGCAAATATATCCAGACGTCCAAAAGGGGTCTATGAAACTGCAGGCTGGGTCCTGACTCTGAAAGGGAACAAGTTGTTGCAAGCATGAGCTCTGAGCTAGACCAGATTTGAATTTGCAGCATCCACTGTGTGATCTGGGCAAGGTAATTCCACCAGGCCTCAGGCTTCCAAGATGTTAAAGGGTCCCACCACCAGGAACAGCGGGAATTGTAAACGGGAATCTGGTCAGAGAAGGTGTCACACTATGTTCAGGGCTGAGGGTTTGAGAAGAGGACGGTAAAGAACCACCCATGTCTCTGAAATATTTTGGAATTGCAGAAAAGTTACTCTGGCAATACCCAGTTCTGTACACAGCACTGAGCACTGGTAAACTGTCATTAGCCAGAAGACCAGCTCCTGAAGGAAAACACTGTCTTCTGAGGTGCTAGGCATGAAGATAAAGAGAGAATCAAGAGATAATCTAGGAAGCTGGCATGGTGGTGGAAGCCTTTAATCCCAGTACTTGGGAGGCAGAGGAATGTGAATCTCTGTGAGTTGCAGGCCAGCCTGGTCTACAAAGCCAGTTCCAAGACAGCAAGAGCTAGATAGTGAGACCCTGTCCCAATCACTCAATCAAACAAACAAACAAACAAAAAAAGAGAGACAATCTAGGAAACCTAGAAGCTAATCAGAGGGCGAGATGGGGAGAATTTCCCGTTATTCCTACTGTTTACCTCCAGACTGTATAGTGGCTGTTTTCAAAAAGCCTTTCACAGGAGCGAAGGGCCAGTGTTACTATATTTCATAAGAAAGTCACACATGATGGGAATGAGCCAGCATGAAAGTTTCAAATGATTATCTCCGTCCAGATGTCAAAAATTAAGAAAATACAACCGGGCCTGGTGATGCATGCCTTCAATCCTATCACTCAGGAGGCAGAGGCAGGTTTACATAGTGAGTTCCAGACCAGCTGGGGCTAAAAGGAGACCTTACCTAAAAAACAAAACAAAATAAAACAAACAAACAAAAAATCAGATTTAAAGGGATGTGAAATGCTGGTACAGGGCACCATTTTCTTACCACATGCTCTCATATGAAACATGTTCACAAAGCTGCAGGTGAATTTTAAACAATGGTAGAAGTAAGATAGTAGATATTTCTGAGCTAGAAGACAAACTCTGTAACCTATCACTCTAAACTGGAATAAAATGTTCTCTTATTATAAAGAAAGGAATTTCTTCATATAAGCTGTGAAGTCTCTTTTCCTTTATCAAACAGCTTAGCTATCTGATATTAGATGAGAAAACCTAGAAAGTTAATTAATACCAGGCTCACATTTACTGTAACTAATCGTTTAGCATTTTGGCCCACGCATATTTTCCATTTAATTTTCACAAGAAACAAAAACAAGGCAGGCCCTCAATATCTGTTGTACACAGATATTGTACATGTTGGTTCTCCAGCTCTTAAATTGCTTGCAGCATTTTGACTAGCCTTTGATAAGATTAGTTCTATATTTTAAAAGGAGTCCCTTAGTTAGTCTTAATACACTGTTTGTTAAAATTTCCAGAAAGAGTCACTTTTGACTATCTGGACATCTCTTTAACTCTTGCTTCACAGTGACCCCAGAACACCCAGTGTCCACTCGCTGTGGTTGCCTGGCACTTAAACTCAAAATCTGGTATTGCATGAAATATGTTAGACTATCTGTTCTCTAAAATATTTGGAGCCATGGTTTGCAATGCGAGCTGTCTTCGTTCACAAGCTCTCGGTGAACTGTCCTGCAGTCGCTTCCAATTACATAGACCATTTCAAAGATGATCAGCCTCTATTTTTAGAAGTTAGAACTACTTGGCTTTGACTCAGGAAAGCTTCAGGAAGAGTGCTTCTTTGAATTAAGTTTAGTTTCATCTTGTGTGGTCAAATGGTGATTCAAACTCAAGTCAAACGCTACCTATGGTTTTGAGGGTCTCAAATGGCCAAATTCAAAAACATGATGAGAAAAGAACAAACATTCCTATTCAAGATCAGAAAACATTCAAAATGTGGCGAGGCAAATAATGAATATAAAATTTGATTCCCCTCCCAAATCCAGCAACAATAAAATTCAAGTACTGTTATACAACTATATGATTATTCTTTAAAATTTATTTTATGTGTATGAGTGCATTGCCTGCATGTGTGTAAGTAAGTGTACCTGTGTTGTGCAATGCCCATGGAGGTCAGAAGAGGGTGTCAGATCCCCTGGAACTGGAATTAGGGTGGTTATTAGTAGCCACCATGTGGGTGCTGGGAAGTGAACCCGGGTCCTCTGCAAGAGCTGCCAGTGCTCTTGACCACTGAGCCATCTCTCTAGCCCCCTATATGATTTTTCTTTATTGGCACCAGTGTGACAAAAACATAACTTTCATTTTTCTATCTTTCCACTTACCAACTTAAATGTCAATGTTTTTAAAGCTTTGGGGTCATCTACAATCTTCTGTAAATTAGCAGCCACTGTAAAATATAAACACAGAGAAACAGTATCCAAGTTATTTCCAATAACACTGGATTTTCACATCAATGATTCAGAAAATTTGACTAATGATGCAAAAAACTGAAAAATCATTTCTTTCACAGACATTACAAAGTCCTTATAAATGACCAAATTACTTTCATACAGATACTTTCTACAACCATTTATATCATTTCAACAATCTCCTATCTGTGTGCATCTGGATTAATCACTGTACACCAACCCTGCATTTCCTATAATAAAATCTGAAATTACTTTCTAATGGAAAGTAGAAATGATAGCAGTCCCCAAAGTCTCAACCATTTTGTTTCTCTAAAAACTCAGTACTAAGAAAATTATTAGCCAGGAGAGGACACTGCAAAATAAAGAGAAGTTGCCACAAACTCTGAGAAATAACAAGTCAGCACACTTGCACTCCTGACCTAAACATGCACTTGGTTCTCTGAACCCATTTTTATCAACTCAACACAATACAGCAGATAACCTTCACAACTCAGGCATAGGTCTTTATGCTTTCGGAGCATGGAGATCTGTCACACTAGTGACATGCCACCTTGAACAACACTGGAGTTGACAGACCAGGGTCACGCACTGGAGGATGTCAGCTTAGAGCCCAGCACTGAAGATCTATTCTCGGTACCAGCTGATTCATCAGAGGCCTGCTGTGGTCTTGGTGTCCCAGTGTATCTGATGCCAAGGTACAGAAGGCAGATTTTCCCAGATGCCTGTCTGATTTGAAGTAGGACTTGTGAACAGAATTCTCAGAAGGTGATGATGATAAAAACAGAAAGCTGCTCTTTTCACATCCAAGCCTCAAGGATAAACTACTAAGAATCAAGTTAGAGTGACTGGAAAGAAGTCATTCACCAGGACAAAAGAAAAGAACAAAAGGTAAACCAAGAAAGAGGTCCCGTTTGTCATTTTTATGCGTTTTGAGAAAAATTACTGATTCAGCAACTGGGTGTCCAAAATGTTTTGTGAATTTTTGATATGAAATGTTAAGAAAAAGGACCCCAAACACATATTTTGAGAAAAGTCTCAGAAAACATAAAAGGAGTAGAAGGAAATCTGTGAAAATCTTGTTTCTCTCTGAGGTTGATGGAAAACAACCTAGAGAGCAGCATTTTATGTAGATTTATTTATTTCATTTACCCTGTCAGCTGTTGGGAAGCGCAAAACTAAAATTATAGACTTGATATGGCCTATTTCTCTTTATAAACCATAATTACAAGCATCATCTTATCCATGTGCTGCCCTTCTATTGGTTCCACTCTCAGCAATCTGCAAGGCTTCATTTTACCAACACCACTCCCTTCACCTCTTTTGTCCTTCTGTTCACACAGACAATCACACACATGTATTAGGCATATCCTGGGCCATGGGCTGGACTGTGGCTACCCTTTCTAAGCTTCCTGAAAATATTCTAGACACTAAAATCATCAGTAATTTCTGTAAGATACGCTGATTCGTGAAGTGAAATTTTCGGCTATAAAAATCTGTCACCCAAAGCCATTATTTATGATGTCAGGACACTCTGACTACATGCAAACTGTAGCAAGAGAACACAGATCTGGTTTTCTTAAGACATAAAGGTCTTCTAAAGGCTCCTCTGATTTGGGCTGATTTCACGAGTGGCCATCAAGTCTTCATATGAATTTCTGTCCTTTCATTAGCCTTTCTCAGTTAATGTGGGTGATTCACTGCTTTGTTCTGGGTCATCTATTTTCAGCCTGCTTTCAGCCAAAAGCAGAACTCAGTCCTGCACTCACTCACAGCCTGCTGCTGTACATCATCTGTACAAGAGCCAACTTCCAGGCATGTGGCTAGCAGGTTGTACATTGACTGGAAAGTCAGCGTGAGCTGCCAGTATCTTAAACAATCATCCTGGGACCCAGGCTCCCCAAGTGTGAGTCCCACACATCAGGGACATTAGAAATTCAAATTCTATCTGCAGCTCTGAGCAAAAATAGCAAAACTGGCCACTTACCTGATTACTGATCCCAGCTGCTAGGGTTATTTTCAATTTAGTTGATTCTAATTTGTTGTAAAGTGCTATAAAACACCTTCATTTAACTGACATCACATAAAATTCAGGGTGATGCTAATTTCTCTTCCAGTAGCAATACTCATTAAAAAGATGGGTGCCACTGTTTTCTCCCTTCTCCTGACTGTGCACCTGGATTTCAAAAATAAAAATGCTCCTTACCTAGAACGTGAGTGGAGAAGGAAGGGCTGGGTAGGGCTAGCTGTGACTTTAGGGCATCTCACCCTTGTAGAGAACACTGAATTTGGTGTTTTAAGGGATGACTGTCAACTCTGAAGAGCCTCTATTTGATGGCCAATGGTCTCCCTATAGCCACAGTTCGCCTTGCTCTCTCAGAGATCCCTCTGCCTCAGCCTCTGCCTCCAGAGTGCTGAGATTATAAGGTGTGTGCCACCACGCCCAGCCAGACTTCTTTCCTTGCTGCTTCCTCTTCCCCAGGCCAATGAATCAGTGCTGAGTGCTTCTCTGTCTTTGGGAAAACAGGGACAATGGTAATACATTTGGAAGCCCTGGGGACAGCAACACTTCAGCCTTCTTTGCTACTATTTCCCTTGCTTCACACTTTAGGCTTGAATGTCTATCAAGACTGGAAGTTTGTATCTGCACTTCCATTATAACATGTGGCCTAAGGTATGGCTCACACTGTGTCTTATGAAATGGTAATAACATCATTAACAGGCACGTGGAAAGCATGCTTATTAGCCCCCTGGATCTACCAAGAGAAGAAAATAAGATTGTTGGGGCAATCTGTCAGCACTCAGATGGCCAAGTACATGCTTCTTTGGCAAATGAAGCCAGGCTTTCTCCAGATGGTTTCTCTATGAATTCCCTGTGCTCAAGTTCTCCACATTCTGTTGGTTAAAGAAGTAACTGATTTAATGACTACTTATACTCTGTGATTGTATTCTGAGTAATTAGTCAAAAGGTATACTTTTGTCCCCAGATATCAGCTTATTTCATGATCTCAAAGAGTGCTGACGCTCTTGTGATGGTGAGTTAATTAATTTAATTCAAGCCAGTACCATGCAAACGTTGTAGGGAAAAGAGGGCCAGTGATCATTGAGTCTGATGGACAGCTATGCGTAAGGCATCCTAAGATAAGACAAGCATGGTCTTGGGATATCTGACAAGGTGATGACTTTGAGATGCTGTTTTACTCAAAAAAACAAAACGAAACAAAACAAAACAAAACAAAAACACCCTGCATCTCTGCTTTCACATTCCTCTGATGCAGGGAGGCAGCAAGAAATGACAAAGACAATCTGAGCTCTAAGGGAAAAAAGAGATGAGGTGTCTGTCTTATGGTTACTGCTCTAAAACGAATGCAAAATTAACGGCTAGTTACATTTCACAGTGGGGGGAAATAAAGATTGGTTCCAGTACTTTCCCTAAATCTCTAGGCTCTTGGCTTCATAGGATGCATTGAAGTACAGTGCTCAAAAATCTGAATTCTATAATTAGAGAACCTGGGTTCAAATCCTGCCTCTTGCTTAGAGCTGGATAGCCACCCTGAACTAGGGCAAGTTCACTCTGCCTCTGTGTGCTTCACTTCTGGGAAGGGAGGACACTGATGGTATCTGCTTGATGAGTTTGGGGAAATTCTTTTGGGGGGTATATTTATTTATTTACTCATTATTTTTTAAAAGTCCTTCTAATTTTTTACTATTATTTTTTAATTGATTTTTTTTGTATTTCATACAGAACATCCCAAACAATCTTATTCAGCTTTATACCTGCATCCCAAATAGCACCCTCCCATAGCCTCCCCCAACCCCCACTGGAGCCCATATACTCTGTCATCCCTGTTACTGTCCACTGTGTTATCAGTGCCCCCAGCTGTTACCCAGTGCTAGTGCATCTGCTGAATTGAGTCAGCCTATCTAGAGTCCCTTGTTTTAGGAAGATCAGCTCTTCCTCATCCAGCAGCAATCAGTTGCCAACATTTCTTTAGATAAGATTGGGGTCTGAGGTTCTTTTTCCCATTTCTATGCTGGGTTACTGTCTGGGAGTCTCTTGGGCCACCCTGGCCAATAACTCAAAGGAAGGCATCTCCTGTCTGGCATATTTTCTTGTTATGTAGCCTTTAGCTATACACATGGACTCAAAGAATTATACTGATCACTTTAATCTTTGGTTATACTTTCCTTTTGGGTGTTTAAGGCCATACAGTTGGTCGAATAAACCGATTTATTTTTACTCTTAAGGTCCTTTGAGGGTCTGTTCCTCAGGGGTCACAGGGACTTGGGAGGAGCCCCTGGCTCTTTTCTTTTACCAGTTCCATCTATGTGAAGATAAGTCAAAGGTCCTACTCAACTGTGGCTGGCTTCACTTGGAAGCATGGAGAAAATGTTTCCTCTGTGTTAACCCTCCTCCCTGTAGACTTAACACTGGTTCAAATCCATCTGGTGGGGTCTCCATGGCCTCCTCAATCAAGAGGACAGGTGACATACCACAGTTACAGAACATTTTGAGTGATGCTCCATAGTCTCCTGGAACTTAGTCAACCTTGGAGGGCAAGGAGCAAAAACTGTCCTTTATGTCCCTCTGACCAGATTAGTATAGGCCTTGAAGTATGGCTGCTAAACATCTAAGAAGGTTAGTTCCACAAGTCTGGTACTTTTAATTACCATGTGCTACACATATAAAGCTTGGGCAAAAACCAAACGTTCTCCAATAAACCTTGACTAGACATATATTATGTTCCTTGAGCTAGTTGTATGTATAATTTGTCAGTAGGTTGTTGGATTAATATGGTTCCCTCTGGTATTTTTTTTAAAACTAGCTAGGCATTATTTATCTCTCTCATTGTCTAACCCTTCCACCATGGTTCCCCCATTTTTCCCTTAATAATACCCTTCTCCTATGGTCCTACCTCTCTTGAGCTCCTTCTTTCCCTTTATCCCCAAGGTTCCTTCTATAATCCTCCCTCCTCCCTCC